GTTTACAACAAAAGCGGCTCCCGCCTTATGATTTCTCACAAGTTTTTGCTCAATCGCGCTCTCGCGCGGGATTTCGTCATAATGAATGCAGAAATCGCGCTCTCGTGCGGGACTTCCTCGCAATTGATTCAGACGCCGCGCCTTCGACACTCAGGGGTTTCGCTCTCGCTGTGGATTTCCCCACGATTTATTTGGGAATTCCGATATCGCTTAAACTTTCCTCTCGCGATGCAGGACGCATTCTTCACCAACCGGGCTGCTCGACCTGGCCGCCTGGGCCCGCCTTCCCGGCCCGCTGCTAGGGTCTGCCTGTCCGATTTGCCCGTCTGGTTCTGTCACGTGTTTGATGTTCCTAGCCCCCCTCCTGCTACTATCTCTCTCTCGCGCTTCATCCTCCTCCTTCTCCCTTGTCCCTTCCTTCCATCCGTGCTCTCTTCCCCTGCCTCGGGGGCTGCACGAAATACAAGTTGCAGGTAAGAAAGTTATACCTATACGACCACCCTTCGGGTGATAAGGAGGTTGTGGGGGGTGGAGAGGGGGCGAACCAACATCTGACTCAATCGATCTCACTATCGATCTCACTCAACGGGACACCACGGGACACCACGGGACACTTGTCGATCTCATTATCGATTTCATTCAACGGGACACTACGGGCCACCACGGGCCACCACGGGACACCACGGGACACCGCGGGACACCTCTCGATCTCATTATCGGTCTCGCTATCGATCTAACTATTGATCTCACTCAACAGGACACCATGGGACACCACGAGACACCACGGGACACCTCGGAACACCACATCGATCTCAGTATCGATCTCAGTATCGATTTCACTATCGATCTCACTCAACGGGACACCACGGGACACCACGGGACACCTGTCGATCTCACTATCGATCCCACTACCGATCTCACTTTCTGGGACACCACGGGACACCTGTCGATCTCATTATCGATCTCATTATCGATCTAACTATCGATCTCACTCAGCGGGACGCCATCGGACACCACGGGACACCACGGGACACCGCGGGACACTGCCAGCCACCGCCAGACGGACGGGCGGACGGGCGGCCGGGGGCGAATGATTTGTCTTGACTTCGCCCAAGCAACGGCGGACACCACGGGACACCGCGGGACACCGCGGGCCACCGTTGGACGGGTGGGAGGGGGAGAATCATTTGTTTCGACTTCGCCCTAGCAGCTGCGGACACCACGGGACACCACGGGACACCGCGGGACACCGCGAGCCACCGCTGGACGGGCGGGAGGGGGAGAATCAGTTGTCTTGACTTCGCCCAAGCAACGGCGGACACCACGGGGCACCACGGGACACCGCGGGACACCGCGGGCCACCGCGGGCCACCGCAGGACGGGTGGCAGGGGGAGAATCATTTGTCTTGACTTCGCCCTAGCAGCGGCGGGTTCATTCTTCCCGCGCGCCCGCGCAGCATCGCCTCGCCCTCACGCACGACACGACCGAAACGAAACGATTTCCCGTTTGGGGGTCTCCGTTCTACTGCGATCTGACCCCCCAACCTCCGACCCCTGGGGGTACGATCGAAGACGAAGAGGGTGGGTACCGAGGGTTTGGGATATACGTGTTGAACGGCACGCGAGCAGATAAGAGCGAACATTCTTAAAGTGATTGCTGTTGTTGCTGCTATTGTTGTTGGTGGTATTGTTGCTGTTGGTATTTGTGTTGTTGTTGCTGTTGCTGTTGCTGTTGCTGTTGTTGTTGTTGTTGTGTTTTGTTGTTGTTTTTGTTGTTGTTGTTGTTGTTGTTGTTGTTCGTGTTGTTGTTGTTGCTGTTGTTGTTGTTGTTGTTGTTGTTGTTGTTGTTGTTGTTGTTGTTGTTGTTGTTGTTGTTGTTGTTATTTGTGTTGGTGGTGTTGTTGTTACAAAGCTCTCATTTCTGAGGGTAAGTATTGTTGATCCCCTCGGTAACCATTGTATTTTGTCCTCTTGAAGTGCCCCTCCCAGGGCTCGCACCCTGTTCTTTATCTGGGCCCCAAACTGGGCCCCGGGCCCCCGAGTTACAACTACAGCGGCTCCCGCATGATACTTCCACACATCGCGCTCTTGCGTGGGACTTCCTCACGATGTATGCAGAAATTGCGCTCTCGCGCGGGACCTCCTCGCAATTCGTTCAGGTGTCGCGCCTCCAACCTTTAAGAATCACGCTGTCGCTCGGACCTTTCTCATGATTTACTTGGGGATCGCGTAATCGCTCGAGACTTCCTCTCGATTCACGCTCACGCTTTGGCAACCCGCCTGCTCGACCTGGCCGCCTGGGCCTGCATTCCCGACCGGCCAGTTCGGGTCTACCCGCCCGATCTGCCCGTCTGGTTCTGCCACGTGCTTTCTGCTCCTGGCCCCCCTCCTGCTAATCTCTGTCGCGCTCAATCCTCCGCCCTCTCTTTTCCATCCGTTCTCTCTTCCCCTGTTTTAAGGGATGCGCCAACTACACGCGGCAGGTCGGGAAGATATCCCCCCAAGGGGGGCAAGATCGCAGACGAAGAGGGCGTGCACCGAGGGTTTGGGATATACCTGTTGAATGGCATGCGAACAGGTAAGAGCGAGCAATCTTACAATGGTTGGTGTTGTTTGTTGTTGTTGGTGGTGTCGTTATTGTGGTGGTTGAATTCTTGACGCTTCGCGTATCCCCACCAGCCTTGTGGTCCACCTCTGGGCGGGAGCCTCCTTCGTGCTCCTGGTACTGCTCAAGTGGTTCATCCTTTGTCAGTACTCACGCTCTCCTACGAGGGGACCATGGTGTTAGGCCACGCCTGCTGCTGTTCCCCCGACACTCCGGGTCTAGCAGTCTAGGTTCGGACTCCGCGGCTGCATCGACGTCAGTGCGTTGGTCAATGGCTCACGGCGATTCGCGCCCATGAGTTCAAGTGAATGAGTGAGTGAGACTTCCCCAGCCGCCCCTCTTCTGCCCGCGCCTTCCCCGCTCTCTTGCCTCCGAGTGGTGAGCAGTGCGGTCCCACGTGCCCACTGTCCTGCCAATTGGCTGTTTGGTCATAGCCTGCGCTCTATGGACTGCACGGTTTGAGCTGGCGCCACTGTGCGTCTTCTCTCCGTCTACTCCAGTCTGGTGCCTGCGTCCCCGTTCTCGGGTCGCTTGCATCGTATTGGGGGGCATTTTGTCTCTTGCAGGTGCGCTCGTTGCGTCGGCCTAGGCGCCTTCGTGACCAATTATCTCGCCTGTGCCCCAGACGTGCTTGCCCCGCTTCCTGGACTCTTCTTCGGAGCCGCCAACCAAAACAAGTATCCCCACCAGCCCATCCAGAAACGATCAGTAGGGGAATTATTGAATCAGGGACGGCTGGAAGCATGAAAAAAAGGATCACATACAACTTCCCGCATTGAAGTTTAAGATGGACATCGGTGCATGATACGACGTGGTGCTCCCCGTGGTAAGCGTCTCTAGTGCAGGTGGCTGTATCCAACCTGGGCCATGCGAAATAAGGATCACACACAGCTTCCCGCAGCGAAGTGTAATATGGAAGCCAGTGGAAGATACGCCAGGGTGTTCCCTGTGGTAAGCGTATCTGGCGCAGGTGACTTTCTCTGTCATTATTCGCCCTTGCCTCACAGTTGACAGTCGCATCCCCATTTGCATCCTTAATCTGCCCCCGCACTGACGTTTATCTTAGGCTCGCGTGCGGCTGATGGTGCTGGTGATGGTGGTGGTGGCGGCGTGGTGATGCTGCTGGTGTTGCTGCTTGTGATGTTATGCTGCCCTCTTGGAGCCAACTTGGAGCACGTAGTGCTGCTAGTGCTGGTAAATCCTAAGACCATCTTGGGGGTAAGAGGAGGCGTAGGAAGAGGAGGAGGAGGAGGAGGAGGAGGAGGAGGAGGAGGAGGAGGAAACACAGAAAAAGGAGGAGGGGAAGGAGGAGGAGGAGGAGCAGGAGGAACGCGGCGCGAGGAGGAGGACGAGGAGCAGGGAGGCGGCAGGAACGAAACAAGGACGGAAACGACGATGACACGGAGGACGAGCAGTCGGGTTTTGGGCATATGTCGTGGTGAGGTTTTTTTTTCGATGTAGTGCCATTTGGGCGCCATTTTGGGGTCTTCTTGGGGTCCTCTGGGGCCCTCGTGGGACCTTCTTGGGGCTTTGTTGGGGGTCTTGGAGCCCTCTTGGGGCTTGGGGCTTGGGGCTCCTCAGGGGGATCTGGTAGGCCTCTTGGGGCCGTCTTGGGCCCCTTCGCTCAGAATGAGGGGGGCCTTAAATTTAGGGGTTTGGAGGAGGTGGAGAAGGAGGGGGGGAGGAGGAGGAGGAGGAGGAGGAGGAGGAGGAGGAGGAGGAGGTGGAGGAGGGCGGGGTGATGGGCAAGCTCCGTCGGAAGGTTAGTCGCCCAGCCCTCGATTAGAGTCCGCGACTGGGTATTTTTTGACGTTCTTCAACAGCACGGGCCCTGCTTCTTTTGGAAAAATGGCTGAACGGCTGAGCGGGGGCTACCGGATTTTTCCTGAGTGCGTAGCCATTACCTCCTCCGCTGCTCTATTTACCTTTCTCCTCTCCTCGTTCCTTCGCGGCTGTTGCTGTTGCTTTCTCTCTTCTTCTCCTGGCCTCGTGTGGTGTGTGGGTGTGCGTGCGTTGGTGCGTGTGTGCCCCCCTCCTTCTCGCGTGTCGTTCCCCCCTCCTTGCATTCTCCGTTCGTCGTCGGTGCTGGGCAGTGCCTGGGTAGGCTCATACTGGGATGGACTTACGTCCCCTCGCCCCAGAGCGCCTGCTGGGAGGATGGTACTCTTGCAGGCCGTCGCGGGTGTTCCTCGTGTGGCTGGTGCTGTTCAGGGCCAGAGGACTCCCCAAGCGGAGTCGCAGGTCATTGCCCTTCGAATGGCAATGCGAAGACCCTGAATTGCTTTCAGAAGGTAGTGCGGCGCTACCGCCGAGGAACCTATGTTGAGAATCGCAATCGTCCCGTTCCGCTCTTTGTGGTATCTCGATGAACATGCCGCTTCCCTTCGCAGTACAGGACGACGGGCTGCCGTGGAGCTGCTCGCTGCTGGAGCTGCCTGCCGCCGCCGAGGGGGGCGGCGAG